AACCTTAATGATTCTATGATTCTAAAGTTCCCCTACTCTATCACTATTCCACCAGCAAGTGTTATTATCAAGTACAAAGAATCCTGACTTCCTGCTTCTGTACAAAACTTCTCCAAGGTTGTGGGAATATGTGGTGATCAAGGCATCTTTGCTCAAATACAGGTATAATGGAAAAAAACCCACCCTTCCCTCCTGGAGACAAAAAAGTACCCCTCTTCCATGTACCACTAATCTGAATGAAAACAGATAGAAGAAACTGATGAAAATACAGAATACCAACAAATAAAGCCCTTAACAGGGTTAGAAGACTGAGATGGTTGGAAGGAGAGAAGGATTAAGTGACACGAAACATGATCCCGCTGAAGGGTTCATATTAATCAAGTAATCAAATAATCAATAAAGGACTGTGTTCAGTAATTTTAGAGTTCTCTCACAAACATACCACTTGATCCATAGGGTCATTGGAATAATAGCTTTCAGAATGGGTACAGCGAACCCAGACTGGCTTAAGTAATTCCTCATCTTCCTCTTCGTTTTTTTCAGATGCATTCTCCTCTGATTCTTTGTCTTTGATAGCGGTATAATTTTTCTCTTTGCTGGAGCTCTGGTTCTCAGACCACCTTTCTCTGTCCTCCTCCCATCGGGGTCTCTTTCTCTCTCTGCTTGGAGACCGGCTTAGTGGGAGAAAGCAAAGAAAGCAATTCTCTTTTTTATTTTAACAGGACACTTTTATAATAAAAAACAAATAGTTTGCTTCAGATCAGTACATCATTCTATCATATAAACCACAGAAAAACCAATTGCCTCTTCCTGCTTTTAACTTGCCACATAAAGAGTACTTTGTAGTTCTGACCTACTATAAAAAAAAGACTTAAAATTGAAAGTGTTTTTGTATTTTAAACCTTATTCAAGAATTAGAATGAAAAAATATATACTATTTTAGATTAAAACTCCTACCTGCATTCTAGATTACTTCCTTTTAATTTTGTTCCAAAGTTAGAAACTCATCACTGAAAACTAAAAGCCACATCACTCACAACTAGAAGTTACAATATAAAGAAGTTTTAATACATAGCCCACAAACTATTTGCATGAGAAAAGAGTTAGGGTTTTATTAGAAGGATTATCTCTAACTCTGGCACTCCTTTGCACAACACAACCTGTCATATTCCTTATGTATTGCAAGACTAATGCTGTCAGAAGCTGAATGTAGGAAAACTACTTTTTTTTTATCTCCTCTACAAGCCAATAATGTTGCACTGATTTCAACTATCCAGGATTCAAAAGGATTTTTTTTTTATATCAATATTTTAAAAAGCTACTAAAAGATGATCTAAACATAGAACGACTTTACATAATCTTGGTACTTTACAGACTGGAAGCAGATATAAGAGGAAGTCTTTGGGACCCAGCAGCGAAGCCTTCTCTCCAGAGATTAATCCTGTTTCTAACTCTACAAGGTCTTGAGATAACTGATATCTCCATGTATACATAGGTAGTTATAAATTTAAGACACTCATTTTTTCTGAGTTTCAAACCATGCACATATATATGCACAAACACTCACATGCGCGGATACACAGAGCCTCAAATACTCAGAGACCGAATGTAACCTTCCTTACCTTCCTGCTCTCTTGTAATCTTTTTTGTAGGATCTGTCTGGTGATGGTGATCTTCTGCTGTCACGGTGCCTATGCCTCTCCCTCTCCCGCTCCCTTGGAGAGTTCAAAACATAAGTTAAATGAGAAATCTGGCATTTCATACATTCCAAAAGGAGCACAGAAGTAGGCTGAGATCATGCTATGCAAAACGACACAGGTGCTGACTGCTAAAACCCCAGACATTCTTAATGCTGACCTTCAAGAAATTTGTAAAAGACAGTCACCTATCTGCTCCGCCTTTGTCATAAAGCCATCTATCTCACTATGACGGTTAATTCATACCATACAGAGGTAACTTCTATAAATTCACCACAGGACTTGTGGCCATTCTTCCTCTTCTGTTACAAATGGCAAAGGGTAAGATTGTTGTATCTTTAACCATTCTTAATGCCTCAAGAAAGGGAAAGAAAACCTACTCCATGCACAACAACTTCGTAAGCACAGCAGTCATTCAAGTCCCTTCCTGACAGCCACCTCAAGCACACACAAAAAACTGATAAACACAGAAAATCTGCATCATGCTGAAACTATGAATCTCATCTACAAGACTCAGCTTGCACATACACATAAATAACTTGACCACCCCAACATATTTCTGGGGCAAAAGAGTTTTAAACTAACTGAAGGCTTGGGTAAAAGGACCTCGGGGTGTTGGTCAACAGCCAGCTGAATAGGAGCCAGCAGTGTGCCCAGGTGGCCAAGAAGGCCAATGGCATCCTGGCCTGTATCAGAAATAGTATGGCCAGCAGGAGGAGTGAAAAGATCGTGCCCCTGTACTCGGCCCTGGTGAGGCCGCACCTCGAATACTGTGTTCAGTTTTGGGCACCTCACGACAAGAAAGACACTGACGTGCTGGACCGTGTCGAAAGAAGGGCAACGAAGCTGATGAAGGGTCTAGAGAACAAGTCTTACGAGAAGCAGCTGAGGGAACTGGGGCTGTTTAGCCTGGAGAAGAGGAGGCTGAGGGGAGACCTCATCGCGCTCTACAACTACCTGACAGGAGGTTGTAGCGAGGTGGGGGTTGGTCTCTTCTGCCAAGTAACAAGTGATAGGACAAGAGGAAATGGCCTCAAGTTGCACCAGACTAGGTTTAGATTGGATATTAGGAAAAATTTCTTCACCAGAAGGGTTATCAAGCACTGGAACAGTGGTTGAGTCACCATCTCTGGAGGTATGTAAAAGACATGTAGACATGGTGCTTAGGGACATGGCTTAGTGGTGAACTTGGCCATGGTAGGTTTACATTTGGACTTGTCTTAAAGGTTTTTTCAACCTAAATGATTCTATGAAATTACTGTGTACATGAGGCAGCAAAGATCACACATGCTGTGTTCATACTCTGCTAACAGCTGACAACTCGTTAATCCACAATCATCTGCGTATCTGTCAAATCTCCTAGTAAATGAGTCTGCTGATAACAAGGAATTATAAATATGTGCCTCAGGTGGTTTGGTGGGCTAACAGAATGAGTCAAGATTATTTATGAACATATATATGTATGTTTCCATATGCATAACATGAAATAGAATGCAAATTTACAAAGCACAAAGTTCATATAAATTATCTATTGTTCTTCCCCACACCCATTCACCCTTCTCTGCCTGTGCCTTGTTCAAGCATGGATTTCAGTCTTTAGAGAGAACATATTCTATGCTATCTGATTTGCCTGAGAGATGGGTGCTGTGCAAGAAAACACACCAAGGCCAGCAAACAGTTCTCATTAAAATAAGCAGATACTTTGTCAAGTAGACCTGGAAGCTGTTGGCCTCAAGCAGTAATCCACAAGTGTTTGAGAAAGCAGCTGCTGAAAACATGCATTTTCAAAACTTAAAACTGAACTTCAAAATCTAAACGATAAATTGTGAGATTATGTGGCAAATATTTGAGTCACCTACAAAGGGCAGAAAATTCCACAAGCTCATCATACAGAAAAGGCCAGTGCTTTCATGCCAGTTGCATCCAGTTTTAGGAAAATCATCTTTGGAAATCAAAGTAAACTTACTGAATGTGAGGGGTAGGGTTTTTTTGTTTGTTTGTTTGTTTTTAATATAGCTGTTCCAAGGTTCTGCAATTAAATCTCTGCATATCTAAATCAAAGTGCTTCATTTCCACAGGCACTGTGTAAATTCATGTTTCACACGTGACGTAAGAAAGCTCAGAGCTTCTAAAATTAGAGCATGTGATCCAGGTGCCCTGATAAATATTTAGATACTTAACTTTCCAGTATCTCTCTTTGAATATTCTGACCTAGATCATTAGACACAGAAAGAGTCACCAAGAGAGCAAATCTAAGATATCTGAAAGATTTAGCTGATGATGGTTTGCTCTAAAACATCACAGAGCAAACTGCATCAGGTCAGCTCATAATTTGCAAGCTGTTTGTGTCTATGAAGCAGACGAACAGAAACTTCATGATACATCCCAAAATAAGCAGTCCACACTCATGCATCTGAATCGTAAGATGTCAACGTAGCCTACAACTTGCTGATTTCTTTTAACTGGTGTACACTAATTTTCACCTCAGTCCTCTCTTGAGATCACAGGCTGGCTTGCTGAGGTCTAACATCAGGCAGGTCTAAGCACCCGCTGGGAGGTCCCATGAAGCCTGCATACATCTGCGCTGGTGTCCCATGAGGATGAGGACAGAGCAGGATGGAGAACACTGCACAACATGCTTTTCACTAAAACACCTCACTGCAGAGGTTAGATACGTGCACCTATCAGACTATAAACCCCTCCAAGTGCTGGTTCTCTACAAATACAGGGCTTACTCAAAGAAAGACCAAATTAAGTAACACCTGGAACCCTAACCCTGGTACCTAAATCTTGTAATTTGAAGTGCTTAACTGTTTGTAAGGTTCAACTCTGAACAGAGTCTTTTGCACAAAGTTGTGCCAACTCTACTTTCATGCCACATGTGCGTAAGTTTCTATCATAAATACCCATGAGAGCAGAGCACTACTCAGCAACCCGCTCAGTTTTCAAACAAGAGCTTCTTTGCTTCCAGCTATCTCCATGGACAAGGGCAACAAGTTTCCCAAGCTTGCAAAGGTGAGGCAGAAGCAGTGTACCTGAAAGATGTCAAAACAGTAGCTCTTTCCATCAGACGTGAGTACCGGCTACCTCCCGAGCTAGAGGGAAAAGCAAGGGTAAGGGAAGAACATCGATGCAAACAAGTACTATGGGACAACGATGACAGCTCTCCCTCTGTAAGCAGAAGATACCTGAAGTTACCTGTTACGCTCGTAACTTCTGTGATGAGGCGATATCCTTCCTCTGTCATAATCTGTCCGGTGCCGACTGCTTTCTTGCCTCCTCCTGTCTGGACTCCGGCCTCGATCCCGACGATCCCCATGGTTAGTGGACCGATGCCTGTCACCGTGGATGTGACCGTGTTCACGATGTCGGTGCTCATCATAGTGCTTGCTCCTCTCTGGAGACCGTCGTTCACTTTGCGACTTCTCTCCCTGGTACTGACCCGTGTGCCTGCTCCCGCCACTGCTGTTGGTAGTGCTGCTCTGAAAGGAGCCAGAGTTGTGCTGGTAGCTATTGAAGTTAGGTGGCGGGAACGATTGCTGTGAATACCCTGTGGAGTACACAGGCTGGTAGTTGACTTGCTGTGGTATGACTGGTGGTGGGG